TGCTGGTGTTACGAGAATAAAACAAGCAAAAATAAATAATAAAAACACCCAGTTTAACGCATAATGTGGGCGATTGACACTGTAAAACCTTCTTCCAGTTACCTCATCACTTTTCTTAGGGTAAGTCCAGTTAAAACAGGATGATAAATAGATTTTTAGAATTTTGTATTACTTTTGACATTAGTTAATGTGTTAATACTGTTAATCACACACAATAAATCTGCTTGCTTTTGACTATACCAAGCCAATGGGATGAAACCAAAGCTAGCATAAGCTTTTCCTTGCTTTGTCTGTTGAAGGGATGGTTCCTCTTTGCAGTGAGGTTGTATGAAGTACTCACCAATAGTCAGTGTATTGCTTACAGTAGATGATGATCAGTACACCAACAGTTTGGAGAGGCAGACAGGAGAATCTGCATTAAGGCTAAGCAACAAACTGCTGTGGTTGAAGTAAAATTACTGTTTTTGTCAATGGAGTCTGGTGGCTTTGAAGACAGCAATATAACTCCACCAGTTCCCCATTAGAGAGGGCTGTCAGACAGTTTGGCAAGGCAGTGAAAATATCTAAATATAGCATACACTTCAACTAATTTGAATTTGTTTGTGTGAGCCAAACACACATTTCTGCGTTGATGCAATCCACAGCACTTCATCACTGAGCTTCTGTGCTTCTGTCCATTCTCCAAACTGGGGGTTGCCGACTTTTATCTACTGTAGATAACACAGTGATTGTTGATAAGTACTTCCAAAAACCAAACTATCTCCTTTTAACGTTGTCATAAAACTGGGTGAATGTTGGTCAGGTAGGCAAACAGGGCTTCCATTGATAGCAGCGTTGGGGGGTTTTCAACTACTGGCTCTTCCTGTTTAAATGTAAAGTATCCTTAAGCAACCCCAGAGATCCACTGAGATGACTAACACTCTGAGTCACTGGTGTGAGGTGAGTAATGAGCATGTGAGTAAATGAAAGGCTTTGAAATGAGCCAAATAAATGCTGTCAACTTATGTTGTGTTGCTTTGACAACTTATATATCACATTGCAGGCTGCCAGAACTCTTTCACAGCCGGCAAATCATTATTCATCCTAATATAACCAACTGCTGCAGTGGTATTGCAAATTAGCACTTCAGTGATTTCAAAGTTTAAATCTTCTTTGCCTTTCTTTGCTTTTTTTTGTCACTTGTTTCTCTCACTTTTATGAAAAATGTTTAGGACCCGTGTGCAGTACAGTGATAATTAATTACTTTTGGACTTTGCTATCTGTGCCGAAGTGACTTGTTGTCTTTGTGCAATTTCATATCAAATGCTATTGAAATATAAGAAATATTTTCCCCTCAAGGATAGCAAACTATCAAGCTTGTGCAGCGCATGTGTGACAATGGTTACTAGTGGACCACAGAAATGCACACGCAGCGCAAGAATGACAGAGTTGTTGTGCACCAGGAAGTGTCCACTCACCTCATCCTGCCAACACTGTGACTATGTGGATTATGCTGAGGTCAGGGGGGAGAGGAGGTTGTGTTAAGTGAAGTTTGGAAGAGCAGTGACCAAGCACACTTTCCCCTCAGGCAAGCGGTCAAGGGACAATTGAGGGCATATACACCCACACACACACACACACACATACCCGCTATCGGATTCTGAAATAAACATCTTGCTCCGTGATGTCTTCGGGCTACTTGGCCCACTGGCCCGCCCTGATGACCCTTGTTACCGTGGTGATTAAATATTGGGAGCCCTCATCTGCAAACATTTAGCCAGTGTCACCCCTAATCTGCCTTGTGTCACTCTGTCACCACGGACTGCACAGGATGGCAACGAACACAAGCATGCATGTGACGCATAAATGACCACATAAAACTTAACACATCTCCCTCCTGTCACGACAGCCAGGTACAAATCATGTAACTGATCTATTTTTAGGAGATAAAACGAGCATCAAACACTTACCAACAGTGTCTGTAGACATTTATAGCTTCTTTTTTTGACAGAAACACTGGCATCAGTTTGATTTCAGTAGATTCCTCATATTCTCCACTGTACATCTGTATGTTCAAACACACACATCTTTTTTTTTTTTTTTTTGTTGGAATTGCCTTTTTTTTTTAACAATGCTGCAACCAGGAAGCATTTTATATGTAACATCATTTATAAGATTATGTTTTTCCAAAAAAATGCAATACAAAAAAGAATAAGACAGTTTTTTCTATTGTAAATGAGAACCTGTTCTCAATTAACCTACCTGGTTAAATAAAGGAAAAAAATTAATAAATAAATAAAATTCTGTAGTTGAAAAGGTGACATTTTGTAAAGAATAAACAGCAACAAAGACAAAGGGTTATATCATGCATTTTATCCGTCATTAAATTACCATCGCCTAAAACATTTCACCTTCTGACCTCTGAACTATGACACACCGGCCTCCTTCCTCCAGGCCAGACCATCATGAACACTGTGCCTCAGGTCACTCGCTGGCCTACAACAGAGCAAGAGAGTGTATTCCGTGCAGAAATGAAACAGGGATTCAATCAAATGACAAATGAGTTTTCCGTTGTCACTTAGATATATGGTCATCCAGTAAATGCACAAAAGCTAATAATGTATCTTCTCAGCATAAACAAACCAAAAGCCGTGAAAACAGTGATATCCTATTATTTATCGTGACAGCATTAAAATTAAGTGCATCTGTAAAAACCACCCAAAGTGCTGCTAGATTAAATGGTCTGCACACAGTGTCTTTGGCCAAAAGCTTTCTCATTAAAGTTGATGGAGCAGGTAAGACAGAAACCGAGTGGCCCTGGCCTTGAGCCTGGTCATAGCTCACCTTAGAAAGTGCAGCACTGCTTGAGTTCAGTCAGTTACAACAAATTACAACAATAACTGGTTTTCAGAACAGACAAAACATTTCCATCGAACCTTTTCAAAGTCTATCAGCATGCTGTTTGTCAGTATGATCATGTTACAAACACTCATTGTTTGCCAATGTGTGGCTTAATACATGGATACAAGTGCTTAGTTGAGACTCTGAGAAGTTCCAAGAGGGGAGAAGGTGAAGAGGAAGCAGTTTGTGATTTGTTCATGACAATCTTACAGTTTCTATGTTATCTCATCTTCAATATGTTAATGTCCTTGTCTTCAGATCCTTACAATTAGCCTTGAGTTGCAACTTTTTCAACTGTAAATTTACATTTTTAAACAAAATAATAACTAACTGTAAGTAAATATACCCTCAGTGGAGTTTAACATGGGTTGACAATGACCTCCAGTGGTAAAGATAGAACACTGCAGGCTAGGACCTGCAACTGCTGTCAGTGCAGTTTCTAAAAACACCACAACACCTAGTTTTTGTGACCTTTCGAGAAAGTGACGCTCAGAGGCTTGAAGCAGAACCATGATATCAAAGTTTCTTTTTGCATTTTCCACTGCAAGACTCACATTATGCAAATTTGAGAATGCCTCACAAACAGGTTGATCAACTGGCCACTTTTTTTCTTGCTTCCTGCACAGGCTGTAGAAAACAGTTCAACCTCAAAGGACTAGATCTCAAAAACACCAGTTAGCTGGTCACATGTTTTGCTTGTAACAGGCTTGCAGCTCATAAAGTGTAGGTGTAAAGTCTAATGGTAATAACCCGTGTATTTCAGTATGTGTGTGTGGCAGACAGAAGGAGAGAGAAGAAGAAAGACAGAAGGATAAAGGGACGCAAGAAACATGAGAGGGCAGGGGAGCTGTCTTTTGTGTACACCTGGGCATTAAAAGAATGGGCAGCCTGATGTGTGCGCTCCGCTCTCCTGGACGTGGAAGAGCCAGCAACTTTATTTTGCTTCACCCGTACCTGCTGTGCGGCTCAGCTGGAGCTCTGTCCATTTGGAGGAAGGTATCATTACCTAGAACATCAAAAACAGGTCTTTCTTGTAGCAGGCAATCTTTTTCAGTCACTCTGGGATCTTTTATCTCTGCCTCTTTGCCTCACCTGCCCGCTGCTCTGTCTTTGACTGGCAGTGTAAGGTAAAGCTCAGGTTAATGAAGGTCCCACTGGGGCAATGAATTATGCATTCTCACCAGGTTTGCGGGTAGGCACTGATCAACCGTGTGATCAGACTGCTCTCTGGTCTTTCTTGTTGATCTGATGAGAGCAACTAATGTCAGAAGGATGCAACGTCTTTAAAGTACATATACAAAAGCATATATTTAGTGACAGCAGTAAGTATTTATATCCTTAAGTTTCACTTAAGTGAAAAGAAAAAAATAACAAAAGTATTGTCATATAAACTTCTGGTTCTTAATTGCATTTAGGAAGAATCAAAAAACTGAACACGACTGAGTAAAAATAAATGGTCATGCAAGAATCTCATTATCTGATACTGCACTATTGATTACGTAAACAGCATTTAATTGCCGTAAGTGGTCAATGTGAAGCTAATTTCAGCCACTTTCTATTTTGCTGGTTGGTTAATCTATGACCACAAATCCTATTCTTTAAGCAGATCACATGGTTTGTGCAAAAAGTCGTTACCGATAAAGCAACTATAATAAAGTAACTGTAATAATGAAATAAATGTTCTGGGGCAAAGTTGCATGATCCCAGAACTGTTACAGTAAATGCTCACTGCATATAATAAAGCACAGACTAATTTTAACAATTATTTAATACTAAGGCATAAGATGTGCATTAAAAGGCATAAAATTGTGCATTTTTGTCAATGGATCTGCATATTTCATGTCACATCAACATTGTTATGTTAAGATTTGCTGACTAATGCTGTACGTTACAGCTCGGAAATGTGACAGAGGTAATAATATGTTGGTGCAGATCAGTCGATACAATAATACTAGATTTAGGTAAAGCTAAACCTGAGCACAGATGTCAGAAATTGTAAACTATTATTTTATTTAGGTCAGTCAATCGTGATTATCGCTGCATCCTGCGTCATCGCCTCTCAGCCAATAGCGTGGCGACGTCCACAAACGGAGCACCCGAGACGTAAACCTGGCAAACATGGCGACGCTCCGAAGAGAGTACGGCGGCTGGAAATACGACCGTTTTTAACCGAGAAAATAACCTCCTCTTCGCATGTTACAATGTGGTGGGGTTAGCCAGCGCCACCGCACGCAACAGCCTTTTAGACGATGTTTGCAGAGGTAAGTTAGCGCCGGTGAAGTAGCCGCCCCACAGTAGTTTGTTTCCCCCCCTCCTCTCTCCCTCCTCCAGTGGTGGACACGGCTAGTTAGCTTGAAGCAGCTAGCGCCTTAGCGTTAGCCCCGCCAGGTAAACACAGAGGCTTGACAGGGAGAGGACGACACGCAGCCGCTGTGTTTTCAGAAAGGCTGGCAGCTATAAGTGGCAGTCAGCCCGGGATTACACCGTTAACGCTAAGTTAATACGATGGGCTTAGGGTATCCGCACTGTCAACACCGCGCTGGAATTAGCTTGACACAGGCAATGTCGGTAGTATGCGTTTAGATTATGAGTAAGGTCCCTCAACAACGAATTTCTACATCACAACGAGCACAGGTGAGCTGGGCGTTAGCTGCTTGGACGGCTAGAGAAGCTAAAACCTAAAAAACAACTGCATGCTTGATATCAACAAGGTCGAGTACAGTTGTGGACCGCTGCTTGCCAAACTCTACGGTTGGCAAACATCATAGGCGGTGACAGCTAATGACGGATGGTAGAAATGGTGTGGAATTTCCCTGTTTTTTTAAAAGTTTTACTTCTACTTATGAGAAAGTCCGGGAGAATTGTATCCAGGACATGTTTCCAGTGACATTCAGTAGTCAGAATAGCTCCTTTCTCTTGTCAGACACAAACAAATGGCCTAACACAGGCTGGTCTTGAAATATTAATAGGGTTGTCTTGAGTCCATTGTTGCCGGTCAGTGGTTGTAGAGATTTGTGTCTTGTGATGGCATGTAGTTGTGCTACGGTTCTCACGTGATGCATGCTGGTTTCCTGACTTGAAACAGGCAGACATACTTTTACTGCCAGTATGTCTGCTGACAAGAGAATAGACTAGATTGTCCACCTCACCTGAGCTCCAGCTATCACCTTTCCAGCAGTTTAAGTACAGGTTCAGGATGATAATGAGGCTTGAGCTGTCGCTGCACCGCGTTCTGCTTGTCTGACAGGCAGGACAGATTCCTGTGTAATGTATAGTGAGGTGTTAAACTTTAGCTAGGAAGCTCTCTGCTAACCTGAAACTGTTAGTAAGCTTCTGCTGGGCTGTCCTCTAATGAGACTTGGCTTCATGTCCTAGGTTTTGACTTGCCAATATTATATTTGTGATCACAAGTTACCTACTCCATGTTCTATCCTGTATTATTGTGTCACTTGATTTGAACTGCACGTTTTAGTGAGATTGGCTGTAGATGCTGACATGTAGTGTGTCTCTGTCTGATCAGATTCCGTGAGTAAGTGGCCTTCTCACATAACTTTACAAATTCACATTTGTACGCTGAATTAGTTTTGAAAGAGTGCCCTGTGTGTTTGTCCACAGCCACACAAAGTTATCTCAGTGTTTTTCACCCCTGGCTAAACCTCATTAAGCTGTCTTAATCAAAGCTCGGTAGACATTAAGGCCAGCATGCTGTCACATCAGGCCTACTTGTCATCTAGTACACCTCTTCTTCCTTCCTACACTCGGGAGAGGTTGTTGCCCTGCCAAACAAGCTGGCAGTTCTCAAGAATTAAGCTGTGTTCAGACGCGTCTTTTTGTATCCAGATATATCCACAGTGTGTCTGGGTCACGCTGACACAGAATGCAGTTCGCACGTGCATCAGAAGTGGACTTTTCTCCACGTATGATTGAAATTCTCTTCATTTTGTGTATCATTTGACTTTGAACAGCTACAGTTAAACTTTTCAAAGGTTGGAGTTCAATTCTGGGTAGGTTCACCTTCTGCCTGGGTGTGTGTTCCAGTTCTCGAAGGGGCATTGCTGGCCTAATGATTCCTACTTGCTGGTTGGGATCTTGGGTGAGTAACACAAATCCTCAGCTACACCCTCTTGGATCAGCTTCTTAGTAGAAGGTGAAAAGAAGTAGCTGGGGACTGGTTTGTGTCAGAGAAGGAATTTGGCTGACTTCATCCTCCCCAAGGGGAATAGTGGAGCTAGCAGTGTCAAACTACAGCTAAAGGGAGCTAGCTATAAGAAACTGGACACAAAGATAATTGTTTGAAAAAGCATCGCACAGGTTTTGAATTAGCAGGGAGCAGCTAGATTTTGTTCTGTATCTGCTTTACTGTTTGTGTCATTAGTTAGGTTGGGCTGTCAGTAGTTTGACAGCGTAACACTGACCACCTTCAGATGACGGAGTTAGTTCAACATGGTGGTGATGTTTCAGGCAACCTATGCAAAGGCAGAACATACAGGTGAATGTTTCAGTAACATTTTAGTAAAGTTGTGCTTGTGTGGGTACAACTAGTGCAGCCTTCACCATTTTTTGCGTCATAAATATGTTACTATCTCTCTCGAAAAAGGAGCACACTGGTAACACAAGTACAGCTTTACTAAAATCTTATCTTAAAGTATGAAGGTTTCAAAATTATCATAAATTTCACACTTTCTAATAATCCTAGCAATTTCAGCTCTCGTTACAAAACAAATTACAACATGACGCATTTTTCTTGTCCTCTCTGAAAATTAGCCATGATTACTTCACCTACCGTTTTCATTCTTGAGATTTAATCCTAGGGTTAACATGGTAGCTCTTTGTATTATGGTGGTCTTGACGGATTAGGCCAGCACCATCAGTCAGTCCTACTTACTTTCTCCTCCTCACAAGCATTAACCATGGATCTCCCACAGGAGAGCTTTAATGGGCTGAGTTAACCTCTCGCCCAATGACCACACTGATCAGGGTTGGAGCGCTTGTGGACTGGCATGGGTCCCTAAAATAGAAATATCCACCCTTGAGTAGTTCTTCCCGCACGTGTATGCGTGGGTTTGTTTTCAATTTTAGCCAGGTAATGTGGGAATTTCATAATCACCAAGACACTGATAAGAGGCTGTGTGTGCACCGAGTCAAGGACATTCAACAATAGAGGTTCCTCAAAACCTTGCCTCTCTGTTGCAGGGCTTTTGGCCATTTGGATTATTCACAGTTCAAGTTGCTACTGTCAGTTGGTTTGAGAGAGGCACAGAGACATCCGTAAGATGCGAGCACATCTAGGACATCAGTCTATAGATTGATGTCATGAGGTACCATCACGTCTGGGATTTAGGTCATCATAAAGTTGTGAAATGGCTAAGTAAACCAAGTTTATGAAGTTGTTAATTTAGTTTGCAGTGAAGTAAAGGGCAATTATTTCTGTCTTCGATCCTTGGCCATTTTATATATAGAAATAATCATTCTGAGCATCTTGTTACTGGGACAGGTGATCATTTGAAAAGGGGGCTTTTTAATGTATGTTTTAGAACAATGTGTAAAATGACCTTGTATAGTCTACCATGTTGTACAACCTACATGCAGTTGATTAATACCTTATAGTAAATGTTAAGTCATACATACATCTTGTTCAGAGATGAGTATTGTCACACTTGTGTCTATGTGTGTCTGTTCAGTGTAGGTTGCATAAGGAAATGCTTAGATGTTTAAATGTGTGCATCCCGATGGGCTTGGGTGTTAATCACTGGAACAGATGGTTCATGTTTTAAACCCTGTGTAAGCTGTAATGACTCAAGAGTGTCAGTTATCATCTCTCCTACAGAGCCAAGCCTCGGCAGTCTCATCACCTCATCACACAGGCCTACCGATAGCCTGCACATTCACTGCTGCTCACTGGCACCATTGACGTCAGAGCAGACATACAGTTTCCATTTGAACTACGTTCAGTTGCTTTATCAAGGTGCTATTGCATGTGGTACAGCATGATGCACCCTGAATGCATTGCCTTTACATTTGAAATGCATAGATGGAAAGAGAACAGCCATGTTCTCTAAAGTAGCTGTTTTGCTTGAAATTACATTTCCTATTTTGATTTAATGTATAATAATTTGTATTATATTAAAAAAGACTTTGCAAGCTGCTATTTTTTACAATGAAACTATTTACATACCCAAGTTGAGTGTCAGCTCTAATAATTTGGAGAAAGCACTGCTGGCAGTGTATTCTGATTGGGGACATGCGCAAAAAATCAAATAAACCGTTAAACATTGCTAACCTTGCTGGTTGACAAAAGAAATATTTTGAATTTTGTTAATATACATCTCTGGTTAATTATTGCATCTAAGATGAGCCTGTGCGGCCCCAGCAGACTGCAGCCCCCTTCTTACTGTGCTGATGTCCAGATGTTGTAAACCAGCAAGGTGGAAAGTGGGACTAATGACATCTGGTTTGACTGTAGCTTGAGCTTCAAAATGAAAATAAGGTTGTATGTAGGCTGTCAGAATAAACTGGCATAGACTGGATCAATATGCAACCGCACTCAGCACAGGCAAGTTGGCAAGTTGTTGTTTACCTGCAAGATACATATTTTAAATCTTAGGCTGTTTGTTAGCTTTTATTCAGTAAGTTGTTGTGCAATGTGTTTAGTGATAATGTGTACTGTTTATACGCAAAATGCAGTGTCACACATGTCAGCAATAGTTAAATCTAGTTTGTTTTTTAAAGAACGTGATCAGAGCTTTCAAATGGCTCCTAAACAGCGACACGGAATTTTTTCAGACAATGTTTAACCCTAATGTTAAGTGTTTCTTGCTTTCTTCTGTGGCCTGTGGTCTTAATGCACTGCTTTGATCTTGAATTCAGATGGTTGTCAGAATGATTTAGCAAACTTTGACTGTCAGTATGCTTGCTCAACACGGTAACTTGTCACCAAAGGCAATGCTGTTCTTTAGAAAGAATGAATAAGTAGTTGCTGCTTCAAGTTGATCCAGGCAAAGGCTTCATCATCGCACTGCGTGTGTGTGTAGAATGCAGTCACCTGTTTTCATGTAGCTCAGGCCCCGTGGTAATAAATGTGATGACAGCCTTGGGCTGCTAAAAGTTTCTGAACACTTCCCAAAGTGGATCAGCTGCCTTCCCTGCGGTGGTGTGTGTACTGTGTGGTCAAAAGTTAAACCATGTAGATGTATTACTGCTGGTCAAGCTGTTCATTGAGGTTTCCATGCAAGTTTAATTTGGTTTTCTTGTAAATGGTGACAACATTGTGGGTGATACTGTTATACTTGCTTTGAGGGTGTCAGAGTTTAGAGCAATTCAGTCCATTCAAGATAGTCAAAGGTTGTGGGAAGCTACATTGCTCTGTGAATAGCTCTCCTTTGTGTTCCTACACTCCTAGCTCAACTGTAATAATGGTCCTTTTTGCTGGCCAACCCTATTCCTCTTCCCAACCCTGCTATCAGTGACTTTGTTTAGGCAGTTATGACTTGAGAAAGAAGGGGTAGTCTAGCCAGTTTGGACACATTCTGCAGCCTGGACACCAACGTGTGCACGTGCGCTCAAGACTTTTAGTCATACAGTCAGCGTTTTGCAATAGGCTGATGTCTTTAACGTCAAGTACATACAAATGTTAGTTCTTCTAGTGTGGCTAGTTTATTTAGAAAAGCTTGGTAACACAGCTGCTGATAGGAGACCTGATCTTGGCCATGTAGTGTAGATGTTTAACCAGACTGTTCGCGTTATAGTGCATGTTGTGCATTAATGACAAAGACCTCAGACAGAGAAAGCTGTGAATGGAAACATTAACTGTGCTTCATTTTATCCAAAGTAATTAAGCTGTTAGAATAAAAATGTAATCATTTTTCAGTCTAAATAAGATGAATACTACAGTAATTAAAATGTGTGCTTCCTGTGTATGTGCTGTCAGTGCAGATGTTTCAACAAAAGGAAAAGCTGCAGCGTCTTACGTAAGCTAAGACAATTAAACGTCAGCCTTCATTCAAAATATGGTGAAATGTAGGGTGGAGAACTGACTGTTGACCAGTCACATGTACACATGGTTTATAGAGTAGTCAGATTATTGTATTAAACATAAACATGCTCTAGTAATTTCCCCCGTTAACTGATTTCTCCCATAGGCAGGTTTATAAATGAAGTTACAGTCTGTTATGCGTCATATAATCCAAGGCGTGCTCAGAGGTGATGTGTTTCTGTTAGTGTAATGGCCCATATGTTGAAAACCAGTTCTGCTGTCTTGCCTCTGCCTACGCAGTGACAGGACCTGTCTAGTAGACTGTGGGTTTACAATGAGTAAGTGAAGTCAGGGTCAGCAGGTCTCCACTGACAGCCATCAGCGTCAGGTTTTAATTTTTCCCCCATACTGCGAAATTAGCCTGTGGCGACGAAGGACACCACCTGCTGATCTGCAAGCTCTGAACCGGTGCCAGTGAAGTCATTTTTTAAATTGCCTGTTATCGGCTTTATGCAACCTGATCCGACTGAGATCCTTTGTTTATTGTGGCCCATCGTGCTCTGGATACACGGCTCACCAGCACAAACAGTTGTTGCCAGTTTGAATAGATATATCCACGCTGACAGAGACTGTCAGCAAGTCAAGCTGTCTGAACAAGAGCAAGCAATGTTACACTACAATACCTCATGACAGAAATTCCACCTACTGTATGGTTTAAATAGACTATGCTTGATAAAGGTTTAATTTTTTGGACAGTATCTGACTACTCTTTGTAAGTTTTTTTTTTTCTTTTGCACTAAGTGTTGAAACTGGCTGAGTTGTTAGTGATGTATTTGCTTTAGGGCAGACACAGTTGTGTACTAATTTTTTACAGCATGTGCCCGTCATATGGCAGATGTTCATGCTATTAAACCTGTCCCGTGCTCTTCAATATGTTGTAGTGGCCAGCACTGTAGTAGGCAGTCTGACTATTTATCTGTTTGGTGCTACCAATTTGATCCTAGCGGAGGCCTTATTTGGACTAAATTGGGAGTCTAATCAAAAATATACTTCATCAGAGGCATTCTAATCACGAGGCATTAATGTGTGCTTTAGAACAGCTCAGCCCTGCATCTAAATTGTCATGAAATACTTAAAATTGATGTTGAACCAAAGCAGTTGTACTAAGTTTAGTGAGATGCAAATACTGTTCACATTCACACTATCATATCTAGGTTGATAATTAAATAAGTAATGAAATTATTTATTATCGTTCTCCACCGTTAACCAGACAAGAGATGGTTTGTGAAGGCTAATTTGTTTTTTCCGTGTCCACGTGTCTGCAAGGACACACGTGACTTAAGTTTTGAGTTGTAATTGGAATCTGTTGTGATTTGTAGCTACGTGCTCTCCATCAGCATTGCCCACAAAACAGGTTAGAAGTTCTCCAGACGTCCTGTGCTGTTTCTGACCATTGTGCTGAGGAATAATCACATTGACGTGGTGCGACAAACATTTTCCAAAAAAAAATGACTTGGTTTGTGATTGGATGTTTGCCACTATATCCCAGTCCAAGTTCAACTATCATCACACCTAAAACATGTTGGTAGCTGCTGCTAGTTCCTCACAGGATGACAAACTAAGGATCAGCCATAAGCACACAACTGCAAAACTGGATAAATGGGTTCTCCTGTGATCTCTCGGGAATCTTGTTAGAATCCAGCTGCCCTGCATAGTGTCTCCACAGTAGCCTTTAGGCAACAGCATGTGTTCAGTTGTCTTTAGTCATTATTTTACTGACATATTTTTTAGCAATATGCATTTAGATGACACGATTTATGTTGGTAGAGCCACAGGTTGCCCTTAGCCCTTTTCTCAAATTTCTGTTAATCAATCCATATGCCTTAAGACTAATTTGATTAGCATTGCATCCCAGTCACCTGTCTGTGTGAAATGCTTGTGCTATACATAGTAAACTGATTGGCCCACGTTTCCGAGTTTGACACTGTTGGCAACTAGTCTAATGTGTGTCATCCGATTGGCCATAGCGGACAGTGGCAGTGAGAACAATGTGTCAGTGTCCTGAGGAAGCTCTGTCTGTCCCTATCTGGGTCCATCAGTGGAGCTGCTTATCTAAGGAACTCTAGGATGAATGTAGGGCAGCCGAAGATCATCACCAGTGATCATCATGTCTGTCAGTGACTCTATCTGATGGCTTCAAAGTCAGGGCGAGAGTGTTGTACAGTGTGTGAATAGGAATGTTTTACATTTCAGCACCGTTGTGTGAAGAACTTTGCACATAAACTAATAACACCACCCATGCAATACTTTTCTAAGGTTTGTGTTGCCTGGTTTCTTTTGTCCAGCTGGCACCTCCTGGGTGATCAAGTTTGTGGTGCACTATTGCAGCCTCATCCTTCTTATAACAACCTCCAGCATACGTACAAACCCCTCCAGGGGCATTAAAAAAATACAGCTGCTGTTTTATAATTGCGTCTGTAGCATTGGCGTAGCATGGAGCCGCAAAAATAGAAATACTAGTGTGACTCCTGTGGAAAAGTGAGGCAGAGTTCTTAGGTAGAAACAAGAGCTTGGTTTCCTGACTCCACTGACAATAACAGGAAAGCCATAGGATGTGACACAAGAATATGCACACACACAATCGCCGTCTTCTTCTGATGCTCTCTAACAATACAGCACACCATGGTGTGTGTCTTCTTAAGTAATCTCTTCCTTTGCCAACATCTCCTTTAAAGTGGAGAACTTTGTTTTTCCTGCGCTGTGGATGACGTCATTGTACAACACAGTACAGTATTTCTGATTTAGCCTCTGCCAGAAGTGCTGCTGGTTTGTTGATTCGTCTTTTACAATGGAATGAAACTCAAACAGCTTTATTTGCAGAATTTATGGTGGGGCTATGAGAGCAGATCAAGCCGTTTTTCATATGGTGCTCAAAGGTCTACTCTGTTTTATTTTTCTTATTATATGCATATATTATGTATAAAATATTTTATTCAGACTAGTCAAAGCTGAAGTGCACCGAGTATTTATGAAGTATTTGTGCTTTTGTGTGTTTCAGGCCAGTCTGTCCATCTGGGGATGGGGAGTCGTGCTGTTCCTCGTCACATTTGGACCCTTTGCCATATTCTACCTGGCCTTTTATATCTTCTGCTTCATTGGCGGGTGAGCAACAAGACCTCGACATCACATTTCACTTCTTTACATGAGTCTACTTTTTCATTGTAACCTAAACGCTACAGTTTGTAGCTGTTCCCTCAATCTCACTTCTGTTTTCCAGGGGCTTTGCGGTCACTTTGCTTTATGGAAAGATCAACTCCGAGAAACACCTGGAAAAGTGCGAGCAATCTTACTTGACGCCCACACAAATTGGTATACTGAAGGTAAACGCACGCTTTGGACTCCACCTTCACAAACAAGTTAATTAGCTGTCGATCAGATTCTCTAACATTTACTGTGAAAATCATTAAACTTTTCACCGATTCCACATCACTGCATCTCTCATTATTGGTGGATATTGTTTTGTCTCTTTCAGACGTTGGATGAGATGAAGCTGGAGATTAGGCCTATAAAGATTGACAGGAGACTGACGGGCTCCAGTTTCATAGATGAACCACTACAACAGGTGTGTGTGTGTGTGTGTGTGTGTGTGCGCGTGCCTCTCTGTGTTATGTATCAGGACTTCTTTGCATTTCGCATCTGGGTCAAGTCTTAATTTTTCAAACCATGACAGTTAAAATAGGGAAGAACAAACAGATTAAACAACAAAAATGATTAAAAACTGAATAATTGATTGAATGCGGACATTGTAGAATTTACTATATAAGCTCTAAACGATTAATTCCAATGTTATGAACTATAAAGAAAGCCTTTCCTTTTACTTTGAAGTACCTGCTGTTCTCTTTACTCAGCTATGAGGGGACATACACTCCTATTAGTCATAAAAAGCAATGCACATAACATAACGTGACAACAGCTACAGAGAGAGACTAACAGAGGATAACAGGATTACAACTGGGTGACAAATGCTAATTCTCCAGACATTTTGGACACTGGCTCACTTAAGTCACTGTCTGACCCATCAGTTGGCCCGGGTCAGAGACTGAATGGCCTCAAGCCAAAGAGAACTATCAGCTATCAAACATTGCGTGGCCCACTGAAGGCTCCACAGGAAGATTGTTCCTCATCTTATTTGTCTTTAGATTAGTCTGTAGCACGATGTCTGCGCTGATATATGTTGGCTTTTGTTGGACAAAGATGCATTTTTGCAATTAAATAAAAATTGAATCAAACAAATGCGCGGCAAGAAATGTGGCAGATAACTCAATTATGTGAGGGGCGAAATGAAATGCTTGCAAAACATGATGCTGGTCACACTTACAGATGTGTTACACATTCCTGACTTTAAATAGGTTAAATCTCATGTTACTGGCATGTCAACACCATGATTTTAAAGGCATTTTTTCGAGAGCTATTTTCTTGTTTTCAAAGTTTCTTAAAGCTTTTTTTCTCCTGTTAACAACTAAAGAAGTTCTCTCGTACACATCAGCTTGTGCCAAAAAAAATTATTTTTCCTTATGTACTCTGGAAAAGCCGTTCTGACAGAAAGTGGAACTGAAACTTTCTGTACCGTTGCATCAAAGCTCTATCCATCATGTGGCCTGAATAAAAGGAAAAGACGGTTATAGATATTTTCACCGCCTGTGAGTCTGCCGGTGATTAACTCAGCTTCACACACGTGTAAATGGATCTCCCACGTGATGGTTCGATTGCCAGTCAGCACTGTAGATGTGGTTTTTGTTTGGTAGTCACAGTTTTCCTTATCCTGTGGTTACGCCGCTTACGGTAAAAGAACAAGCGCTTAGCATGTTCTCCTCAGCAAAGCAGTGCAGCCGGCAGAGTTAAGTGCAGACACAGCAGTTAGTGATGGTCAGATGACGCTGACTGCTCTACCACAGTGTCTTCGCTCTCTCCCTCCTCCCTGGGAATGCACACTTATCATCTCAGCAGCATGTCAACCTTGAGATCTCGCATAGCTAAATCTAACGTCGTGTATCAAGCTTTCTGAAAGAAACGCGTGTTCCCGATTTCTCCAGCACATTCCCTTATATGTGCTCACATAAGCACATTTTTCTTTGACAAATTCCTCCTTCTCTCTCTGCAGCGTATACAGCAGCTGACATTTACACTGATTCATGTGTTTGGCTTGATTTAATCATCGGTTACATCTCTCTCTTATAAGGAGCAGAGTGCAGCTAAACGATTGATTTATCCAGGTTTCCTTAAATCTAATAACATCTGCTCCCTGAGTGTTTGTACTAGACATGGACAATAAACAGATTTCATTTTCAGGAGTAACTTAACTATTTCTCAGTCTGCTCCCTCCCTCTCATCTACTTCCAACTCCACAGAGTCCAGCTCATTGAGTTGCCTTTTCTAAACTTTGCTTTCCTCTTCTTTCATGTTTTTTTCTCTCTGTAGGTGATCCAGTTTGCGCTTAGAGACTACATCCAGTACTGGTACTACACTCTGAGCGAGGATGAGTCCTTTTTATTGGAGATCAGACAAACGCTCCAGAATGCCCTCGTCCAGTTCTCCACACGGTAAAAGACTCAGACACATTTTCCCTCTGATAGTGAGTGTTTTAAACATGTCGGACTAATTGTACTTTGTTTTTGTTTGTGTGCCAAGGTCCAAAGAGGTGGACTGGCAGCCTTACTTCACCACTCGCCTGGTGGACGACTTTGCCACCCATTTACGTGTCTTTAGAAAAGCCCAGGATCGCCTCGCCGACAGGGAGGACAAGCAAAGTAGGCGCACACACATTGTTTCCCACTCACTGCAGTTGTATTAGTACGTTTAGCACATCTCCAGAGTTGTTTGAAGTTACCTAATGAAAGACTGTGCTAATACCTGACAACATGATGATTCTGTGCTCAAGAAAATCAAAACCAATTTTCTGAAAAGACTTGATTTCAACACTAGCGCGGATGATGACAATGACGGATGATTTCTGAACAGGAGACATAACAGAAGAGCTGGTGGACTCATTCTTTGAGGCCGAGGTGGAGATGGAAAGAAAGATTTGTCGAGACGTAGTGTGCACCTCGCACAAAGACGAAGAAGGTAAACACACTTCTGCAATGTTTCTCACCTTACATTTCACGCTTTAGTGAGGAACTCTTCGCTCAAAGGTGTTGACGTTTGACGCTGTACCTCGTAAACCTAAGCATGTCGTTTGTGTGTGTGTGTCAGGTTTTCTTCGGGACTTGTGTGAGCTGCTTCTTTATCTGTTACTACCTCCTGGAGATTTCCACAACAAGAATATGAGATACTTCCTAAGGGTGAGTGCACAAACAGATTGGTCTGAGATGCAAGTACAAGGAGGGAAAATACTTACTCAGTTACACAATATGGGTGCCTGCTATGATATTTCCAACTGCAAACTCAAAGATAAGCGGCACTCCTGGCTATGTGAAGGCATGTTTGTTTAGAGCATACCTGGTAATGCACTGTCATGTTTTTTAGGAGGTGTTGGCGCGTGGTGTGTTACTTCCTCTGATCAACCAGCTGAGCGACCCCGACTACATCAATCAGTTTGTCATCTGGATGGTGAGCATTAACACTCGTCCTTCTATCCAAATTCTATCCAAAAAACAATGAAAAACCAAAATCAGACTAGGATTAAGGATGGAAATATTTTAGTTCTGGTATGTGTGTTCTTAATGTGTAATTGTGTGTCTAGATTCGAGACTCCAGCTGTAATTATGAAGCCTTCATGAACATCCTGAAGCTAACAGACAAACCTCCTGAGCTGGAGGCCGTGAAAGACAAGGTGCTGGAGGAGCTGCAGTATCTCCGCTCCCTGGACACAGCTGGAGATGGTGGGCGTTCACTTTTTCTCATTTATATGCAGACGTGCACAAGGGTAATTTGTCATGTTGGTACATATGTAAAGTTTGCCTAAATAAACACACTGCTTTATTGTTTGTGTGTCCTTTAGACATCAACGTGATTAAGAACCAGATTAACAGTCTTCTGTTTGTGAAGAAGGTGTGTGAGACTAGGATCCAGAGACTGCAGTCTGGCAAGGTGAGAAACTGCTGCACAGCCTTGTATTGTTTATACTGGAGGATCCAACTTAAACATACATTAGTAAAATTAATTTTGGCCATGAGGTCAGACACTGTCTGCACAACTGTCCGCCGAGTTTACTCAAAGTCAGTTCGTTAGTGACGTTTTATGTTTTGCTCCTTGTGTTGCGCAGGAGGTCGATGCCTTGAAGCTGGCAGCCAACTTTGGCAAGCTGTGCGTTATCCCGCTGGATCACATCCTCATTCACAACATAGCCCTGCAGTTCTTTATGGGTAATTCCGCAAGCGCATCATCACATCACATATCACCCGAATGCCAAATGTCACTGTAGTAATCTAGAGGCCCTAATCCGGAACATTTCTGTTAATCATCTTTATAATCCATAACTTATTCCATTTCTCTCAAATTTGTAACCCCAAGTCAGCCCTCGTTAAACATACTCCTCCTCAGTCCCACATGACCTCGGCAGAGATTTGAAAAGGTCACTCCACTTTACAGATCAGATTACACTAGTTTGTGTGTGTATGTGTGTGCGAACTAGGATTCAAGCCAAGTTTCGTCAGATCTGGGGTGGACAACAGCCAACAGCCTGAACATTACAGCTGGTTCTGTCGTTCTAGGATTTACGCTGCTTGAAATGGTTGTTTAATTAAGTGTAAACGTGGTTTTAATTCATACGGGTGGATCACTAAGCAGAAATAGTAAACAACTAAATATAAAAAGAGCGCAAGGGGCAGGGCTTCAGTCTTACAGGAGTGTAATAGTAGATGGATCTTTAGAAATAAGATCATCAGAGACCACAGATACTAAGTGCCAGAATTTTAGAGGCACTGGTCCACTGACTGTGGAACTTTGTGTAACCAAAGTGCTTTAGAAGACACAAACCATTTGGACCAAATGTTGTTTGTGTGTTGTTCCAGACTTCATGCAGGCAGCAGGGGCCCAGGCAGAACTGTTCTTCTGGCTCACTGTGGAGGGATACAGAGTGACGGCACAGCAGCAGCTGGAGGCGATGCTAGGCTGGCAGAAAGATGGTGGCAAGAAGCAGCCCAGTGCCACCAAGGGGCTGCTGAAGGCTGCAGCACTCGGTGTCTATGAACAATACCTCTCTGAAAAGGTACGAGGCGCATTCAGACTTCATGCCTATAACCTGGTGTCAGATGCATTTAAGCCAGTTTAACTTTGGGATTAGACAGATAATTGAATGCCATGTTCAGCATTTTTCTGATTATTGGTATTGTTAATTTTTTCATCAATTCCTGGTAAAAGTCATTCGATTTACGTAGGCTTTGATGCAGCAACCATCAACGATGTCCCACCCACAGCAATATCTGATTAGTTACACATCACAAGTAATAGCCTGTCAACACTAAATGATACATTTTGAAAAGTTCTCTTTTAATTAAACATATGTAAAACATCATTAAAGTCTTTTCAATAAAGTTTTGTGTTGAAGGTTGTGTTATCTTCACACAAAGGTTTTGATATTTAATGTGATTGTATACAGGTTCAGAATACTGGTTATTAGTGATTGATTACTAATAATCGGTGTTTGCCCTAAAAAATCTATACATGTTGACCCTGAATTTCAACCAGCAATCAGATATACAGAGAAGTTAAATATGTTTTAAACATACTATACTGACATAAGTTACATCTTAGTTTACATACAGATATATTTGTTTTGAAGTACTGCAACCTTTAGCCTGTGTGCTGTAATATCATGAGAGGTTATCTATTGACTCTATCTGCTCTAACAGGCGTCTCCCAGGGTGCAGGTGGACGAGGAATCAGTAACAAAACTTGGGGAGAAGCTACAGAAAGACGACCCCACACCGGAGATATTTGATGAAATTCAGAGAAAGGTAGTAAAATGTTTAAACAGGCTTTAACAGTCTGTGTATGAGGATAATTTTATAAACCATGCCAGTACTATTTGCATAGATAGTCTCTCTAAACCCTTCTAGTTGTTTCTCTGAATGTGCTTCTTTGTTTCTATTTGCTCACTGATTTCATACTTTTCCACAGGTATATGACATGATGTTACGCGATGAGCGCTATTACCCATCCTTCAAGCAGAGTCCTCTCTACGTCCGCATGCTAGCAGAGTTGGACATGTTGAAAGAGCCGAGCTACCGAGGGTCTGATGATGGCGATGGAGAATCCTTCAATGGCTCTCCCACAGGAAGCATAAACCTAGTAAGACCTCTTCACCTCATGTGGGATTTAAAATACTGATGCACTGAGGTACATCTGGAGTTGTTTTTTCCCTCCTGCTGATTCATCATTACTTGTGTGGTTTTTGTGATTTCAGTCTTTGGACGACTTGTCCAACTCCTGCCATGATGAAACTATGCACCTACATGCCTTCATCTCCGACACAGGTACGCTCAGTTTTGTAAACTAGGGTTTTTTTTTTAGTTTTAAGAATTACTTACAATGGCGTTTTAAGAATTACTTACAAAGTGCAAATTAATGAAGCTGTATGCTTTCTTCAAACTACTGCAGAACCTTTTCTCACTTTTCTGAAAAAGGGTTCACTGTAGATTCTAACGTGTGTACGCATGTCTGAAAGTATTTCTTGTGACTCGGCGTGGGATTTGGTTATCGCTAGACATTGTGTTGAATGGGGTGTGAAATTGTTTCTTGGGTGTCTGTTACCCCTACTAGTCCCTTTCTTGCATGTTCTTTTCTTTGAACTTTTCACCTCCTAGCTCCGTTCATCTGCATGCGTCTGCTGTGTCACTTCATACTGTTCCAGTATTCTTTATTTCTTTCATTCCATTACCCTCACTGTTTTTCTGTTCTTCCTTTTTCCTTCCTCCCCTTTCCTGTCATTCTGTCGCACTTTCCTCCCTTTTATCACATTTCCACACCCTCTGCTTTGTATTCTTTTGCTTGCTCCTCCACTCCCACACTCTGCACCTGCGACACTTTTCTTTTACTCCCTTCTTTCATCGTCTTCCATCAACCCTATCCCCCGTCGTCCACTCCCTCTTTTTGGATGTATTGCCGGGCGGGGTAGCTGATACTTGTCTCACCGGCTTCTGGGGTGCTGCAGGGGTTTGCAATGACCACGGTAAGACCTACGCGCTGTACGCCATCACTGTGTTCAGACGCAACCAAGACGGCAGTGAGGACTGCTGGAAGACCTACCGCCGCTACTCGGACTTCCATGACTTCCACATGAGAATCACTGAACAGGTGTGCGCGAGTCAAAGCAAGTTAAAAAAAAATAGTGTTTACAAAGAGGCAGCAGCAGCTCATGCACTTTGTCTTCTTTTATATGTTCTGTGTTAGTTTGAGAACCTGGCGTCGATCCTCAAGCTTCCCGGGAAGAAGACCTTTAATAACATGGACAGAGATTTCTTGGAGAAAAGAAAAAAAGACCTCAATGCTTACCTACAGGTAATGGTTTTGTGTTTCAGTTTGTTTTCTATTTGTGTTTTGTATTACAGTATAGATTTGTAGAATGTATGTCAATAACGTTGTTTGCATGTGTGTGTTCCAGTTGCTGCTCAACCCAGAGATGGTGAAGGCCTGCCCAACTCTGATTCCCTACGTCTATGACTTCCTAGAGAACAAGGCCTACAGCAAGGGCAAAGGAGAGTTTGCACGAAAGGTCTCTAAATTATTACGTGCAAAGAATAAGCGGTTCAGTGCCCTTTTGTGTTTTACTACCAAATAACTTCATGTAGAACAAATGAACACCTAAAAATCCTTTTCTGCTTTGGTTTTATCCACCAACAGATAGACACATTTGTGAATCCTCTGCGAAGCTCCATGAGGAACGTGTCTAACGCAGTAAAAGCCCTGCCAGACAGTCTGGCTGAAGGCATGAACAAGGTCTCTGACAACATGGGCCGCATGTCAGAAAGACTCGGTCAGGACATCAAACAATCCATATTCAAGGTAGAACTATGAAATGCAACTTTTACTTGTTACACTGACGTATGAGTTCACCAAAACCTCTGACTAACCAGTTTCTCCCCCTTTTTTTCCCCCCCAGGTGCCTCCACTCCTCCCCAAGTCTGAGATCGACCCAGAACACTGTCGAGTCTCTGCCCAGCTGGATGACAATGTGAGTCAGTGGGCAGTTTGGGTGGTGAACGGTGTTTTTTTTCTTTAATATGTTTTCAGCAAGATGGCAAACGTGTGTTTCATGTCTCCAGGTGGATGACAATATCCCACTGCGGGTAATGCTGCTGCTGATGGACGAGGTGTTCGACCTTAAAGAGAAAAACCAGTGGCTGCGCAGGAACATCAAGAACCTGCTACAGCAACTCATCAGGGCCACATACGGAGACACTATCAACAGGTCAGAGACACACAAAGACCTTAGAAGACACACTTAGTTAGAAATGTTTAAATTATGTATATAACCCAATTACATAAATAATACCGTAAATTCCGGACTATTGAGCGCACCTGAATATAAGCCGCACCCACTAACTTTAAAAAAAACAAACTTTGTGCATATATAGACCGGGCTTGTCTATAAGCCACAGGTGTCCACGTTGTAACATGAGATATTTACAAAGAAAGATTTTACACATAAAGATTTTCTTAACTTTTAATTAAATATGCACCGGTAACATACACAAAATACATAAATGTGTTTTTTCAGAACAGTGCCTGTGACACAGCTGGTTAAAAACATAAAAAGATGCAGTAGCCTACCAGGAAAAGTCACTGATCGCTATCTTCGTCTTCCTCCTGCGCACTAAAACCACTAAAGTCGTCTTTTTCAGTGTCGAAATAGAACATCCTCAGAATTACTTCGTCACACACTTCCTCAGTCTCTCTTTCGTTGTCACTCTCAATGTCACTTTCGTCTCGAGGCAAATTCGTAAAACTCGTAAAAATCCATAAATTAGCCGCATCATTGTTTCAGCCGCAGTGTTCAAAGCGTGTGAAAAAAGTAGCGGCTTATTGTCTGGAATTTACGGTATAACCAATAGTGAGATTTCCATACTGTTAAGCTGGTTTGGCAATGAAAGCAGATGTCTTTGTCAAACATTTAGACCCAAGTACAGTATTTTAAACACACAGAGATACATAGATACCTGTGTGAACAGCAAAATGGGATTTCATTTAACAGCCGAACACATGCACACACAAACTCAGAGCCAGATAATATCTCTCAGAAGTCTTCCTCATCAGTCACAGAGCAGTGAAAAAGCAAAGTCAAAAAGCAAAGAGCACAACCTAAATCCTCTTTCCTTTTGTAGAAAAATCGTGGATCATGTGGATTATATGACGTCACCTGAACAGGTGGCAGACTATGTCAAAAAGTTCAGGTAACCCCTCCTCCCTTTTCGTAGCCAAGTTCTCTGATTAGTCAGAAGAATCTCGAGTAACTCTTAATGACTCCACGTCTGTGCAGGGATTCCTACTGGCCCAATGGTATTCTAGCTGAGACCCCGCCCCGCCGGGACAAGAGCATCCGCATGAGGACACGAGTAGCTGCCAAGACGAGCCTGCTGGGGATCATGCCAGGTAAAAATACACAAACACAGACTTTATATAGCTATCACCGAGCCACATTTGGTCTATTCGGTTCTCATCCTTGAAGCGTTGTCTCTGGGCTGATGGGTTCTCCTTTGTGGTAAATGTCTCCTCCAATCCTTCATTTAGCGCTCACGTCTTAGTCCTTCCCATTGAAAACGCAAGTCAGAGATACAAAGAAAAGATCTGAGGAGAGCAACACGACACAGCTCAGTGTAATTTACTTTCTACTTGGGCACAGTGATATCAGTTAAAGGCAACAGAGTCTTATCTGCCGGACTAAGATTATCCAGGATACTCATTAAAATAAGAAAAGCCTTGAAAAGAAAGATCTTTCTCATGTCTAATGTCAATTGTTTTCTTTTGTTCCTTTAGTATTTAAACTAAATAATGAGTGTAATCTGAACTTGGTGGTGATTTTACCCCTGAGCTGAAGCTGTTATTTGTCCCGATATAAACTGCAGTGATGTGGTAGTACTGCAGTCCAATCAGCTGCAGTGTTCAATCAATAACACATTTTCTACTAACAGGGTGTGTCAGTCTGATAGTAGACGTCTGTACAGGCTAATCTCGTGTGTCCACACTCCTGGTTTTTGCAGCCTTGTTGCTTCTGTTATTCTCCAAACAAGTGATTCTCTATCTGCTTCAAAATGGTGGTAAAGAATTATTCTAGGTGGAGAAGGAATATGAAATAATGTAATGAGAAGCACCCAAAATCTTACCTCTGTTTCCAAATCGGCCTTCGAATGTAGAATTGGTTTACCGCTGCCCCTTGTGGCTGAGGGGAGACGGATAATAAACGTGATGTTCTCTCCGACCATCATCACAGAGGTTGTTTTCTGCTCTCAAAGGCAAATAAGTCACAACACAAGAAAACTGACAAAGCTGAAGTTGGGTTTGAAGTGTTTTCCACAGTGTTTTTCAGTGTTACAACATAAAATATTTCAGACATGACAAAGTGAGTGATTTGTTGTGGGTGAAGAAGAATCGCGACTCTCAAAACGAGGAGGTTGAAGTCAGCGTCTCTTGGACAGAATCTCACACAACACATTGTTTTGGGACAGGAGCTCCCAGAGTAAAAGGACTTTCAGTATTTATATTCTTCTCATCACCTATGGAGGGACAAGTTCTCTCTGTTCTTAGACAATTTGTCTTGTCATTGGAGGACTGCTTCATGTTTCTCTCTCATCTTGCTTAGGACTGTAACAGTAATTTCCCTCTTATCCATCACAGGAGTGTAGCTCACTGTGGCCGGAGTGTAACTTCCTGCATCAGTAGCGTATCTCTCTAAGAACTCCTTCACAGTCTCACAGACTATTAGCCAACTGGAGAAACAGAAAAACAATCCTCAGTGTTTTTCCATCATTTGGCAAATACAGATTTGGTTGATTTTTCCACCTGATAAACAGCTTTTCTATGGGAATCATCTGCCTCCTACTTCATAGATCTAAGAGTCCTGAACACTGGGGGCTGTTGCAAAGGCTCTGTTGGCCTCCTCAGGCAGGTGGACGAGCTTCTCACATTTACATTAGTGCAGGTGTTTAGCTTTAGGACAGTGTATTCATCTGACTTTTTGTCAGTATGCTTGTTTTAACATAATTTTCTTTCCATGTCTCTGTTACAACACTTCCATGCATCATTCTAGCCCTAATAGCATGCTGAAGGTGCAGTTAAGTGATCTAAGTTTCCCTCTTGTCAGCCCAACTACTGCGCTGATGTGAGCTCAGAGATAAAAAAGGAAACAGTTTTCATTTCCCCCCTGCCTCTTTGAGAGTTTGTGCACAGAGCTGACATCTACACTGCATTTCTGTCTCTTCCTCAGATGAGCTAAAGCACATCATCGGAGCGGACACCACCAGAAAGGGCATACTCCGCGTCTTCGACATGTTCCAGTACCAACCCATGAACCGTCGGCTAGTCTACGTTTTCCTGGAGGGCTTCCTGGAGACCATGTTCCCTCAGTACAAATTCCCAGAGCTCTTTGTCAAGCTGCACTCCCGTTCGCCGCGCATCCACAGATACAGCCAGAAACTCAAATCCTCCTCCCTCAAGAGGTGACAGGAAAGGACGGAGGCGACAGGACACGGGCCGACTAGACACACAGAGACTTTGACAGCTAAGAGTGAGAGTGGGGGGGGGGCTCGATGTGAACGCTGAGGTATGTGTGTGATTTCTGCCCTTCCTCTTCCTTCACACACTCCTGCCGGTGAAAACACTCCCATCATCCAGCTGATTATTTCTGTCAGGACAGAAGTGACAGATGAACAACACACTCTGATCTACTCTCACTCTGTGACACACACAAGCGCAGACACAAATCCTATCATTTGCACCAAGACTGAACTTGGCAGTCTTTTCTTTTAGTTTATAAATTTCTCCCACCCTCCCTCCCCCTCCTCCTTTTTTTGAACTTTTTAGTTGTGTTTAGCTTTATCCTGGGCCAGCCAATGCTGCTTTCTTATGGTCCAGAGAGCAGACCACAAATACTGTATTGTTTTTAAACTGCAGGACTAGATAGCATAGACCCACACCTTGCCTTACCTTCCTTCCCGCTTCTGTCTTTGGGCCGGCACAGTCGTCCATGTCAGCGGACTGGCCTCACAGCTGTAATCAGACTCACCCTCATGCTGTAGACATTCAACCTGCAAAAAGCACTTGTTACATTGCAAATTCTGTTTCTGTTTTCATAGCAACCAAAAATGTCAATAGCACTGGGTTTAAGAGGCGCTGTTTTTAAAATGTGACTGAACAAGTATGGGTCGAGTTTTGTTTTTTATTGTCAGCTTTTCTTCCCCCCCTCTGGAGTCTAAACACTTGTGCTGAGATTTATGTTTTTTCCTCTGTCTAAAGTGTTAACGTCATCTGTACCACCCTCCAAGAACAGGCCACCTCCCCTTTAATGCTACTGTCATAACCTGTGATGACCAAAGCTCATGCTGTTCATACATGTGCGTGTGTGTGTGTGTTCTGGTTTTGACGTTGGGATACTCTAGAACATTACTGTGCTTCATATCGCCGATCATGTGAAGAAAGACGACGCAGTGTTGACCTTTAATGATCTAAAAGGTGAGGCTGCGGCGACACACTTGAGGTGTGTTACTATCGAAGAATGTACTCTCTGGTCTGTTCTGTATTTGGCTCGTGTAGACTTTTGTGCGAATGGGTGTGTGTTTGTGTGTGTGTGTGTGTGTGTAGCGTGGAGATGCAAACCTCTTCAGTCAGAAACTGTGCCAGTGTGAGCTAGTGAACCAGCCTTAAATCTATATACAGTATATACTGACCAAGAGACGCACGCTAGCGGTAGCTCTCCTCCACACGACTGAACATTACAATGAAATCAAGATAGAGATATGGAGATATATCCCTAATCACTTTTATCCTGAGAAAACGTCTTTAATTTGGTGCAATATCTATTTTTTTTTTTTATTGCATGTGCATTTTGAATCATTGTGTACTGCAAATAGTAATTCATATTGTTTTAATAGTAGAACACACGAGAGAAGTTTCCCCAGAAATGTCTCCATACCCCAACAACTTAACATTCCGTTGTTGTAAAAGTACAATGTTTATTTAACAGACTTGTTTTATAAGTCTGAGTTTTGTTGTATTTTTATTTTTTTCCTCAGTGTGCGGGGTGGTATTTTCCACGTATCCCCCGCCCACTCTTGCAGAATCTGTGTTTCGATTCGGCAGTGTTAGAGGAGGGGTTGCGGTTTTTCCTGCGTCAGCTAGCTCAGAGGCGGCCCCCGAACAACTGCTTCTTTTTAAACTCATAAGCGGCGTTTTATGCATTCAAGCCTGTTGTATCGAGTGTGACGAGATCTTCGTCATTACGAACTTTGTGCTGGAAGACGCCCCGCCCTCGCACCACCCGCCCCTCCAGCAGGTTCACAGAAGAGCTGTGACCAATGGAATCACTGCTAACTAGCACTTACCGTAGCAACTGTGGGAGCCCCTCTCCCGTTGGCTGAACGGAGCCCCATTCTGCTGCAGTCATTGGATGGAAACTCCCTCGTCTGCTGTGATTTGCTTGCACTGAGCAGCCCTGGTGGACTCCGATTGGCTGAGTTAGGAGGACATGGACTGGAGCCTCTCTTATTGGGAGGTGAATATTTTGTCCCCCAGCGATGGAGGAGGAGATGTCACCTTTAACCTTCTGCACACCTCTCCATACAGGAAGGCTTGTCTTTTTTTAACCCCAGTATATATGAATCTATGATAATGAAAATTGTGCATATCTGTGTACAGTATGTGTTAATAGTGTGCCTAAATGTACTGTCAACTCTATTTTCATATTTTTCTTTAACCTAAAAACAAAACAAAAAAATCAATCAGAATGTCATGATCATTTTACGCGACTGAAAATGACTTTAGGGTGTTTTTTTGCATCATGCTTATCAAACTTTTCCTTGTGAGCAGTTGTGCTCAGATCAGTATAACACTAATAAAAGGTAACTCAGACTAACTGACCCACAGCGTGTATGGTGTCTTAAGTGTGTTTGCTTGTCCTGCGGATGGTTTATGCAGCGAATATTTGTTCATAAAAACACTGCTGAAGTTTATCCACCAGCTTAAAAGACATCGATCACATTGAAGGCAGTGTCCTGTGAACAAGGGTTGAGTATTAGACGGTCCTCCAGCGAGGATGAAGGGATTATCCCGGAGCTCACTGCTGCAGTCCTGAAGTATCTGATAATAGCAGCCGTTCTCTTGTTTAACAGTAATGCAGATTCAACTGATAAATAGATGTCCAGACCTTTGGTTTCTTTGTATTGTTGCCTCCCTCTGCAGTTACCGGCTTCTGTTTGATGGAATTATTAACTAAATAATAATATTCCTCATTCAGTGTTTAAAATGGTAGAAATAGAAATTACACTGTAATTGTACAGAGCCAGCCTGAACCAGTAACAGCTGTTCATACAGAGTACTGCTTGTGGGCTAGAACAAAAAGCTAGAATCATTTTAATGCTGGGTATTCACTATCACCACACATTTTTTAAAGTTACAGATCAGCAGACATTGTGTGTTTTTAAGCTTGTAAGGTGACCCAAAGCAGCTTTGTGCCCTTACAAATAGAGTATCTATGTTTTAAAGTCATCTCTGGTCATTGATTTAGCTTCTAAAAACTCATCTCTATGAATGAAAGTGACATATTTAGATGTTTTTGTTTCCCCATGAAGATAATTCCTTCCTTCCTTTCTTAAAGTGGCTTATATGTGTAATCTGTAACACCGTTGTCTCCTCTAGTCTAGAATGTGCAGATCTCTCTCCGTGCACTCATCCCTGCTCCCTCAAGCACACCAGCTCACCTATGAGTCTGCTCAAACCCTATAAAACCACTACGATGGTAATCTGTATTATGGAGTAATTCCGCAACAAATGAGCCACAAAGTCCCACCTTACAAGATAATTGTTTTTTCTTTCTGAAACCCTGGAAGTCTAAATCTCCGTTTCTGACACAGTTCACAGTATACTGAAGCTTCTCATTGGAAACACTCGACTGATCATTTCACCCACGATATATCTTCTAGCGTATAAATCACTGCATGGGCATGTTAACAAATGTAGGAAAAGCTTAATTTTCACCAGAGGAAGTCTTCATCAACACCATGAACTGCTCTCATTATTGATTCATACCAGAGAAATACAGTGTTTTGTGTTCAGGGCTGATGCAGAGGTTAAAATATTCAGTCCTTCAATCCTTGTATGGGCTGGATGCTACAGTTACCATAATGTCACTTGGTGGTGTCTTCTCATGGCTTTCAGTAGCTTTAATGGCTACGTCTTTAAATCCTAATTCCGCATGACATTAATGGAGTCACTTTTCTAACTTTGGGGACTCTGTGGAACAAATAAAACGCATGAGGCTCGGCTACATTACGTGTCCCAGTAATGTGGCAGTGAACCAGCATTCCTCGACCACAGCTCTGAAAAAAATAAAGATTTCTGGCAACAGCTTTATGGCAAAGATTCTTCTGTTCTCTTTGTGCAGACTGTAGGACATTGATACATTAGTAAATTAGGCTTTTTCAAGGACATTTTGGCATTCGAGAGCAAGAAAAGCACAAGTAATGACATTAACGGTCATTACATTGACTTTTTGAACTTCTTGTTCCAGCGGCAGAGGCATCACTTGTGTCACTGGTTGCACGTGTGCTTTCTGCGCTACAAGAAATTACACTGCTGCTTATAAAAAGAGACGACTGTATTTATGACTAATCATTACTGTTGAAATCTGCAGCAAGAACACATTTCAATGATGACATTTAAAGTAGCACTTAGGTATTTTATATAGGATTTCTTTCCACTTTAATTCAAGCACACATCATCTTCCAGGAGTTCAGGATGCCTGGTCCAGATATACACTCTAATCAGTTCATAGCAGACTTCCATTGAAGCAGTGTCTTTGGCTCAGCAGGTTTGCAGTCCACATTTGAGTGAAATGATGTGCATTTGTGCAGCTCTCAGTTGTCTTCACGTCTTCCTTTGAGCATTTCCTACCGGATCAAACAGGACAACCAATCCCCAAGAAGCCACACCTGAAACATTAACACAGGTGAATATTTACAAACCCATTAGATAATGCAAGAAGAAGAAAAAACGTTAGTATTGTGTCAGCACTTACTTGTAGCAAATGCCATTTGCAACACTGTCCCCATGGGAGTGCCTCCGCGTTTTGGCATCGCTTTCCAGGCTTGCTGGAACACATAAGCCCCGGACAGGCACAGACCTCCGCCGGACAACAGCCTGCAGCTCCAGCAGCCGTTAAACATCTGACGGGGTTTGGCAGCGGGGACCTCCGGGGCTGCTGACATTGTGCGACAGTGTGGGAGCTAATGCTAATATGCTAAAAACGCCTCGAAAACATGGAAGGAGCGCGTACAAAAACGGGGGCAAAACACACTGGAGCCCGTGTCTGGAAGCCTTATTAAATAAGTAACTTAAATTGAGGACAAAGTTACAGTCATGCTTCGTTATAAGTTGTTGTCTTGCAGGCTGAGGGCAGAGCTGAGAGGTCGGATTCAGCGAAGTGCTTCCGGGTCACGTGTCGTAACAGTTCCAGGTCACTGGTGGAGAAGAGAGGCGGAAGTTAGCTTCTCATTGGACAGTTAAAGGAAACTGACTTTACAGCAGAGAATGACCAATTCTGTCTTCTTCTTTTTTGTGTTATTTAATTAATTAAATGCTTTTATCACATTTTAATGATAGAAAACCGTGTTAACTCTTAACCCTCTTTGGGGTCAATTTGACCCCATTGAATGTTTAACATCTCTAAAGAAGTCATTGATCTATTTTTTCCTCCCATTTTAGCAATTTCACAAAGATAATAAAGGTTCCACAAATCTGACA